ACGTTATAGATATGAAAATCATAGTTTAAAATTGTGGGCAGAAAATTTTTTAGATGTCCTATGAAATTAAGTTTTTACTCACAGTATTTTATGATATATATATATTTTAATACAACATACTATATCTTATTACATAAGAAGTAAATCTCTAACCTTCAATTTGTGGAAATGATGACATACTCCATAATACAAGGGTAAAGTGATACATCTAATTTTAATCGGTCATAAAATATTAATTCTTTAGAGTTATTAAATTCAACCATGTAGTGAGTTATGGGCATGACAATCAAAGAGAGTTGGTTCAATTGTGAAAGAAATATCACAACCATTTCATCATTCCTCAATTCAGTTTTTACGCATTGAATTCAAATTCTGTTTAAATTCGCACATATAAGAGCTTTAGGAGTTTAAATATATTTTTGATTAATTTGAATACAAAAATTATAATTTGTAATTTTTAAAAATAATTTAAAATTTTAATAAAAATATCAAAATTTATTTTCATCAAACACTCAATTTCTTCATTTTAAAAATACCATCTATTTTTAAATTTTTTTTACTATTATTTCTATTAAATAATAAATTATTTAATTAAAATATTTTTTAAATAATTATCTTATCGGTATCTTCAAGATTCAAAACATAAAATCGACCAAAAAAAAAAAAAACAGACAGAATGGGTTCTTGGTCCCTAGTACGTTTTCTCTGGGCCGAATGAGAGTGCTGTAACCCGACGAGGAAGAAAGCAGAAAACATTGGTTTTGGGGGTTTTGGTTTGAAGAAGGCAGAGGTTTTAGCTTCATCGTTAGGGTTCACTTCAATATTCGACAGACAAAACGAAGAAATGGTAGCAGCTACTGCTGTAAGGTCAGCTTTTATGCGACCTATTTGGAGAAAAACAACTAATTTATCGGCATCCAGAAAAAAATTCTCAATACCGATTTCTAATCCTTCGTCTGCAGGCAACCGTTCCACATTTCCTGACCTTTCTCTTTCTAGGTACCTGTGCTTTCTCTTCCTCTCATTGATACTCACTTCGCACACTTTCTATAATTTCACTATATTATAACATATCGATGGTTGTGTTTCTGTAATTTTCTTTGATAATTTGTTTGAATTTGGAAGGTTGGTTCGCCGAGAACTTAGCACCCTTCAACCAGTCCATAGCGCCATTGCCTCCGCTTGCCTTGTCTCCAAGCTGCCCACCGACCTCACCACATTCTACCAAGGTTTCATTTCTTTTTCTTTTCTTTTTCTCTTCTATGCATTTTTATTTATGTAACTGATGGTCCTTTTTTGCGTGATTGCGGTTTTACATCTTGGTTGCGTCATTGGAAATAGGTAATTTTGTGATACATTTAAAAGAAAAGTCTGCATTGCTGTATTGAGTTGCCAAAGTATCCGCTAGATATTGGTCTTAACCTTGATTCTTAGAATACAATTGCTGAAGTGGGAAAGTACTCGGAGAATTTATCCTCCATAGCATTCCTAAATGGTTCTAAAAAAGCAGGGTTTGTTTTGGACTTCTTCCTTGTATTCTTCTTAAACTTGATGGTTTTACAGAAGTTTGTAAAATGCACCAAAAGAGTGCACTTGGCTGTTGGGAGTTTGAGTTACCAAAGGTTGATAAACTCCTGCGGCCTTAAACAAAACGATCATGTAAATCTTCTGTGAACATGTGCAAATATGGTGCAGTTTGATGAGTAATGTACATTCCCATAGTTGATCTGACAGATAATTGTTTCAGCCATTGCTCTCTGCTTCTTTTTCTCAGATTATTTTGCCACTTGAGTGGTATGACACTTAGTGGAGTTGATATTGAGAGTTATTGCGGCATTAACAGATATAATAATGGGATTTAGCCATTTAGGGCACTCAATTTTTAAACTTTTAAATACAAACATATGAATCAATCCATTAACACTAGTGAGATCTGCAGTTGTACAAGCACAGAGTGGATTTGTGTTTGTATTCAGCTATTGATCTACAAAGTCTATTATTATTTAGGTGAAAGGTGATTCAGGCATTTGATGTAGTTCTGTTGACATGTCTGTTGACATGGTTAAGTTGGACTTCAAATTCTGAAATTTCAGAGCTGAAGTAGTTGGCTCAATCAACAGTTGGTGTAAGGAGGATTTGTGGTTATATATAATTTTCCTGCAAATGGTCATATAAAAGAAAGCTAGTTAACTCAAGGGTTGAGGTACACTTGGATCTGTTAAATTTATCACACTATTGTCCTCTAATGTCTTGATTTGGACTGTGTCTAACCTTTTCTTTTCGGTTTTATTTTTTATCATCAGGCTAGGTTGCAAAGAGTCATAAAAGAAAAAGCTAGTTAACTCAAGGGTTGATGTACACTTGGATCAGTTAAATTTATCACACTATTGTCCTCTGATGTCTTGATCTAGACTAGGTCTAATAATTTCTTTTCCATTTTAGTTTTCATCATCGGGCTAGGTCGATTAAGCTTAATAAGCTTAAACTTAAAGTTGTCTTGTACTCCTATACTCAAATAGAAAATATAAAGCAGATTTGTTTAATATTTTGTATTCTCTTTTGATTGTTTTAGTTTTAGTGTTTTTTTTTTCTTGTTTTTAGGATTTAAATTTTAGGTTTTAAAAGCATGTGCAAGTTGAATGTTCTTTTCTTAGGGTTGGTTGCATTTAGATTTGATTTGCATCCTTTCGCCATGGACTCTTTGGAATTTGTTGTAGCAACGTAGCCTAGTAACCCTCTCCAATACCATGCCTAGTATAGTTGTTGAATCCAATCTTCAACAACAATACATGAGAAAAGTTGTAAAGGTCTAAAATTTAATTGAATAGAAATATTGAATTAATGAAATAATAATGGAAACAATTGAGAATTTAGTGTTTACATTCCGTGCACAGTAAATTATAATGCCCAATAGGGTTACGAGAATATTCTGTAACGCCCTGACCTTAAATTCAAAGACATTATGATGACCCTGCTTGCATATGTGGTATGACATACTGTTCAATAACCAAATTCGCTCATTCGGTATATATTAAATGTTCAAATCTAATTATTCAATGTCTAAAGCTTTTTCATTATACACCCATTAATATCGCATATCACAATTACACAAATCTCATTTCAAAATAAACTACTTTCCACTAGCTATACAAGTATCCCGGTTCACTACCTATGCTTCCCATTTAGTCTCCTCTACATGCTAAGCTCGAAGGAATGTGACTTTGGTCCAATTTCCTATGTTACCGTATCTGTAAATGATAGAAAATGAGCATACACAAGTTCAGTAAAATAAATTCAAAATATAAACATAGTATAGAATCCCAATTAAATGCCTACATAAGTACCCCCCTTCCTATACCCTTACTTTTATTAGTCTCTTCTCCCCTACCCCCACACTCTTTTCCCCTTATGCGCTTATTACCACTACAATCACAACTCTCCCCGAAAGGAAACTGTCAGCTTTTATCACGTAAAGTCACCACTAGATGCCATAACATCTGCACACAAAGCACCTGTCCACCTGACCATAGATTAGCCACACACACACCCCATA